CTGAACCCGGCCCGGACCAGGACCCGCCTCGCCACCTGGGAGCTACAGTATTATTGGAAATAACAATAAAAATACATTAATTAGATTGAAGTACATTGGATATTTTTTTGCTCTCAACCAAATGTCATGGTTTTCATGTTTAGTTCCCGTTTTCTTTTGTAAATATATTTTCTTCTGTGTCTTTTTGAGTTTTACTTCCTGTCCTGTTGATCGCCTGCCCCGCAGTGTTTCACCTGTGTCTTAAATTCCCTGTGTTCTTTCCCTCTTTTTCCTCTTCTCTCAGTGGTTCTTGTGTTCGTCTTCAGTTCCTGTGTTTTTAGAGTTTTGATTTTTGGATTCTTGTTTATTAAAGTATTATTTTTGCAGTATTGAATTTTGGGTCCTTCTTTCTTTCCACCACGTAACTACAGAATGGATTGACCAAACCAGGACTCATCATTTTGGCCAAGAGCAACTTTTGGTCCATCCTGTAAAGAAGTTTTTGAGAGGTCAGCTACTGCTATGTGTTAGCATTGGCTAATTCTTATTCCGGGTCCACCCCCACAGGCCCGGGGTGGTATTGCAGCATGTCAGCGCACGTCATATCAGCCACTTTTGAGCCGGGACCCCCCACTGGTCCTGTCTCCGTGTTTGAGCCATCACCGGACATTGATTTCAGCCAGAGATGCACACAAGTCTCTGACCCGCAAGTCCAAGTGAAGTCCAAGTCTCTGACCCGCAAGTCCAAGTCCCTAGCCCAGGAGTCCAAGTCCAAGTCTCTGGACCCGCAAGTCCAAGTCTCTGGACCCGCATGTCCAAGTCTCATTTCCTACGCATTAAAATTATGGCCAATACATTTTAAAATGGAGTAAAATATATGAATTAATTGTACTGTACTGCGACAAAAAACGACCCCGGGACTTTTGCCTCAACGGCCCGGTTTGTTGTCTCATTTTTTTACATTTATTTATACGTTATGCAGAAGCACTGACTGTAGAGGATGAGTGCAGTTTCAACAGTTAAAATGAAGTGCAATAGTCGGCGTTACAGAGTAACAAACATGTGACTACAGTGAGGGCACAGACCAAACATGTCACTACAGTGAGGCACAGACCAAACATGTGACTACAGTGAGGCACAGACCAAACATGTGACTACAGTGAGGCACAGACCAAACATGTGACTACAGTGAGGCACAGACCAAACATGTGACTACAGTGAGGCACAGACCAAACATGTGACTACAGTGAGGCACAGACCAAACATGTGACTACAGTGAGGCACAGACCAAACATGTGACTACAGTGAGGCACAGACCAAACATGTGACTACAGTGAGGCACAGACCAAACATGTGACTACAGTGAGGCACAGACCAAACATGTGACTACAGTGAAGGCACAGACCAAACATGTGACTACAGTGAAGGCACAGACCAAACATGTGACTACAGTGAGGCACAGACCAAACATGTGACTACAGTGAAGGCACAGACCAAACATGTGACTACAGTGAGGCACAGACCAAACATGTCACTACAGTGAGGCACAGACCAAACATGTGACTACAGTGAGGCACAGACCAAACATGTGACTACAGTGAGGCACAGACCAAACATGTGACTACAGTGAGGCACAGACCAAACATGTGACTACAGAGAGGCACAGACCAAACATGTGACTACAGTGAGGGCACAGACCAAACATGTGACTACAGTGAGGCACAGACCAAACATGTGACTACAGTGAGGCACAGACCAAACATGTGACTACAGTGAAGGCACAGACCAAACATGTGACTACAGTGAAGGCACAGACCAAACATGTGACTACAGTGAAGGCACAGACCAAACATGTGACTACAGTGAGGCACAGACCAAACATGTGACTACAGTGAGGCACAGACCAAATATGTGACTACAGTGAAGGCACAGACCAAACATGTGACTACAGAGAGGCACAGACCAAACATGTGACTGCAGTGAGGCACAGACCAAACATGTGACTACAGTGAAGGCACAGACCAAACATGTGACTACAGTGAAGGCACAGACCAAACATGTGACTGCAGTGAGGCACAGACCAAACATGTGACTACAGAGAGGCACAGACCAAACATGTGACTGCAGTGAGGCACAGACCAAACATGTGACTACAGTGAGGCACAGACCAAACATGTGACTACAGTGAAGGCACAGACCAAACATGTGACTACAGTGAAGGCACAGACCAAACATGTGACTACAGTGAAGGCACAGACCAAACATGTGACTACAGTGAGGCACAGACCAAACATGTGACTACAGTGAGGCACAGACCAAACATGTGACTACAGTGAGGCACAGACCAAACATGTGACTACAGTGAAGGCACAGACCAAACATGTGACTACAGTGAAGGCACAGACCAAACATGTGACTACAGTGAAGGCACAGACCAAACATGTGACTACAGTGAAGGCACAGACCAAACATGTGACTGCAGTGAGGCACAGACCAAACATGTGACTACAGTGAGGCACAGACCAAACATGTGACTGCAGTGAGGCACAGACCAAACATGTGACTGCAGTGAGGCACAGACCAAACATGTGACTACAGTGAAGGCACAGACCAAACATGTGACTACAGTGAAGGCACAGACCAAACATGTGACTGCAGTGAGGCACAGACCAAACATGTGACTACAGTGAGGCACAGACCAAACATGTGACTACAGTGAGGCACAGACCAAACATGTGACTACAGTGAGGCACAGACCAAACATGTGACTACAGTGAGGCACAGACCAAACATGTGACTACAGAGAGGCACAGACCAAACATGTGACTACAGAGAGGCACAGACCAAACATGTGACTACAGTGAAGGCACAGACCAAACATGTGACTACAGTGAGGACACAGACCACAACTAATGTTTGTTACAGGATGACAATGGGATATTTCAAAACAGTCTGAAATACCTTGTACCAGCCGATGGCTGTCATTAAATCTGTTTGTTTGTTCACAGCATTTTACTGTTGACACAACATGAGCTGTTAATGCAAGGGAAAATATACGTACACCAGCTTTAATTTAGCCAGTTTAGGAGGAGACACAAGGAGACATGGGAGGCTCTATCATACAGCTCTGTTTATTGCAGAGGTGTATAAAGACACGCACATAACAAGCAGAGAATGGGTCCTGTGCACGTGTATGGTCCTGTGCACGTGTATGGTCCTGTGCACGTGTATGGTCCTGTGCGTGTGTATGGTCCTGTGCACGTGTATGGTCCTGTGCACGTGTATGGTCCTGTGCACGTGTATGGTCCTGTGCACGTGTAAGGTCCTGTGCGTGTGTATGGTCCTGTGCGTGTGTATGGTCCTGTGCACGTGTAAGGTCCTGTGCACGTGTATGGTCCTGTGCACGTGTAAGGTCCTGTGCACGTGTATGGTCCTGTGCATGTGTATGGTCCTGTGCACGTGTATGGTCCTGTGCACGTGTAAGGTCCTGTGCACGTGTATGGTCCTGTGCGTGTGTATGGTCCTGTGCACGTGTATGGTCCTGTGCACGTGTATGGTCCTGTGCACGTGTATGGTCCTGTGCACGTGTATGGTCCTGTGCGCGTGTATGGTCCTGTGCACGTGTATGGTCCTGTGCACTTGTATGGTCCTGTGCACGTGTATGGTCCTGTGCACGTGTATGGTCCTGTGCACGTGTATGGTCCTGTGCACGTGTATGGTCCTGTGCACGTGTATGGTCCTGTGCGTGTGTATGGTCCTGTGCACGTGTATGGTCCTGTGCACGTGTATGGTCCTGTGCACGTGTATGGTCCTGTGCACGTGTATGGTCCTGTGCACGTGTATGGTCCTGTGCACGTGTATGGTCCTGTGCACGTGTATGGTCCTGTGCACGTGTATGGTCCTGTGCACGTGTATGGTCCTGTGCACGTGTATGGTCCTGTGCACGTGTATGGTCCTGTGCACGTGTATGGTCCTGGGAACATTATGACCACAGGTTGCGCGCTGCCGTTGACAGAGCGGCTCATGGCTCAGACACAACTGATGCACAAAGTGATGCAGCCAACGCGTGCATTCCCGCAGAGTCAAGACCCGCGATCGCAACCATAGAGCGCGCACAACCATAGAGCGCGCACAACCATAGAGCGCGCACAGCCATAGAGCGCGCACAACCATAGAGCGCGCACAACCATAGAGCGCGCACAACCATAGAGCGCGCACAACCATAGAGCGCGCACAGCCATAGAGCGCGCACAACCATAGAGCGCGCACAACCATAGAGCGCGCACAACCATAGAGCGCGCACAGACATAGAGCGCGCACAACCATAGAGCGCGCACAACAATAGAGCGCGCACAACCATAGAGCGCGCACAACCATAGAGCGCGCACAACCATAGAGCGCGCACAACCATAGAGCGCGCACAGACATAGAGCGCGCACAGACATAGAGCCTTACCAGCCTGTGAAATGGATGGATCTGGAGCGTTAGGACTTGCAATGTTCACAAGTCCGAAAACAACGAGTCCGAGTTCAGTCCGAGTCTTTAGGGGACGAGTCCGAGTGCAGTCGCAAGTCTCTAAAAATAGCAACTTAAGTCGGACTCGAGAGTCCCCATCTCTGATTTCAACCATTGGTTTCCGAGTTCCTCGTCAACACCGGGCTCCAGCTCGACACTAACTTGTCTTAGAGCATCTGCAAGAAGTAGCCACCTCTGTCTGCCAGAGTGGTTTCTGGTTCACCCATGCCTTCTCCCCATGGGGACCTCCTACATCTCCGTCTGTGGAGCTCTTCTGTCCTCCTTTTAATTTACGGACAGTTCCTGTTCTGCTCTGTAGGGAATCCTTTGGTTTCTCTCCTCTCTCTGCGCTCCTGGACATGTGTTGTGCTTCTCTGAGACCAACCATTCAAGGATATTCCTGAGCCATATTAAGCAATGTGGGTGAAGTGACACAACATTAGTTCAACCTGGAGAGACTACAAGAGACGAGATGCGTTTAAGAGTTGTTTATTTTATGGATTGAGTTTGTTTATTGGTTTGGAGCTTAGGCCCCGGCTGTGGCCGTGCTCTGAAGAGATCTGCGCCTGGGTGCAGATCATGATCCCCCGGGGCCTAGACACTGGTGGTGGCAACAAGGCAAGGTGAATGTGAAAGTGAAGAAATCCTGAGGCGGAGGTGGGGAGGAGGTGGTTGCAGCTTGAAGTCCGTTTGGTGAGCTGTGCTCTGCTGTTCTCTTAAACGCTGGCTTGATTGACACGGCTGCGGGGAGTTGATTAAGACAGGCTGAGTAAGGCGTGGTCAAGCCTGGTGTGATAACGTAGGTAGTCTACCATTCTGAACCTCCGCTTCAGCTGCATTTCAACCTGGAGAGACTACAAGAGACGAGATGCGTTTAAGAGTTGTTTATTTTATGGATTGAGTTTGTTTATTGGTTTGGAGCTTAGGCCCCGGCTGTGGCCGTGCTCTGAAGAGATCTGCGCCTGGGTGCAGATCATGATCCCCAAAAAGAGAGCTTGGCTAGCGATGCGTTTGCCATGACTTGGTTGCTGCGTTTATGGAAGGCGCATGGTGTGAGTGACTGTTTCCGTGCGTGAGCTCGGCTCTAGCGCTAGGCGTTGGCACGCGCGCGAGCTCGGCTCAAGTGCGCGGCGTAATGTCCATGCGCGAGCTCGGCTCTAGCGCTAGGCGTTGGCACGCGCACGAGCTCGGCTCGAGTGCGCGGCGTAATGTCCGTGCGCGAGCTCGGCTCTAGCGCTAGGCGTTGGCACGCGCACGAGCTCGGCTCGAGTGCGCGGCATGCTGGAAATGAGGAGTTGCCACCACCAGGAGATGCATACGTACTTATATGAGAGGAGGCGCTGGGCTGCCAGAACGGATGAATGTGGTAGAGAACCAGGGGCCGAGCTCCTGGAGAGATGATTGAGGGAGTCCCAGGGCAGCAGCCCAAGTGGCTGCTCCTATCCGGAAGGAGTGGCGGATGTAGAGAAAGGAAGAGAGGTTACATGCAGGGAGCGCAGGTTTTGAATTTGTTCAGACCAGGGGGTCGTCAAGGGATTGTTTAAGGAGTAATTATAGTCTATGAATGTTGATAAAATGTCCATACATGTTGTAGAATGTAAAGTATCCTGGATCATCACCACGGGCCTTCTAGTTGGACACTACTGTCCAGACCCTCCTGCATGGCAAGGAAAACTCACAAAACCCCGTGTGGAAAAAAGTGAGAAACCTTCGGAAGACCCTACATGAGAGAGGGATCCACTCCACGGACAAACAGGCTAGTCTCCAGGACCTAAACTACAGAACAAGGACCATTGCTAATACTCCTTTAAGGATCTTCTTATGAGGGTGGAGCAGTGTGACTCGAAGTGGATTTTAGAGAATGTATTTAATGCCGATGTAGATGAGGCAGTGACGGCAGTACCCGCGATGCTGATGTCCAGAGACTGAGAGTATGCAGTGAGAGGGAAAGGAGAATGCTGAATGAAAGATGAACTGCTGGTGTTTAGAGCGCTGATATTCGAACATGATTCCACTTGGGGAGACTAGAAGGTGAAAATGAGATTCATGAAGTACACTTACCCAGGAAGATTGATGTTCGATAGGAGATCTCTGGACCCCCAAAAACCAACGCACAAGGGCCCGGTCAGAATGAGGGCCAGGGTGCGTCAGGTAAGGCGAAGCGTGAGACAGGCCCGGCGGCAGGAGCCGCACCAGGAGACCAGGAGAGAATATGCCTGGGGAACATGAGAAGGAGCACCGCCTACAGCCACTCAGAGTGCACGCAAACCGTGGCGGGCAGTGCTGCACACCAAAATCCAATGAGTGCGGCCTGGGGAAGATAGTCGGCCAGGTTTGAAGACCACGCCGAACAGTACTCATGCAGTCTTAGCAGGCCAGCGTTGCGGCAGGCCACCGTCGCGGCGTCGTAGCAGAGCTTTGGTGCGGCGTTGCGGCATCACGTTCCTGCGAAACTGAAAAGAGAAACCTCGAACCACTATCACTCGAGTGAAAAGGACCAACGGGCAGTGTCAGACCACGTCTTCAGTCAGACCACTGACCTGATCCTTCGATGCCGGCTCTTCCCGTCATTGTGAAGCAGAACTCTCCAAGCGTTGAATTGTTCACCCACCAATAGGGAACGCGTGTCCATGGTCGACACTGGTCCCACGATGAATGGATGAGAGCACGCAAATGCGTCGAAGTGTGGCGTCGAGAATGCGGCAGGAGGCGGACACCGACGTGGCGTCAAACAGCGGCCACCGGCGTGGAAGCGTGCGCCGACCGACGTACGGCGATGAAGCGTGCGGCCGCCGCCGTGCTGCGATGAAGCGTGCGGCCGCCGACGAGCTGCGATGAAGCGTGCGGCCGTCGACGAGCTGCGATGAAGCGTGCGGCCGCCGACGAGCTGCGATGAAGCGTGCGGCCGCCGACGAGCTGCGATGAAGCGTGCAGCCGCCGACGTGCGCCGGCGTTAAAGCGTGCGGCGTTAAAGCGTGCGGCGTCAAAGCGTGCGGCGTCAAAGCGTGCGGCGTCAAAGCGTGCGGCGTCAAAGCGTGCGCCGTCGAGGCGTCGGCGTTGTCGAGGCGTGCGGCGTCGTCGAGGCGTGCGCCGTCGTTGAGGCGTGCGCCGTCGTTGAGGCTTGCGGCATCGTTGAGGCGTGCGGCGTCGTTGAGGCGTGCGGCATCGTTGAGGCGTCGTTGAGGCGTGCGGCGTCGTTGAGGCGTCGTTGAGGCGTGCGGCGTCGTTGAGGCGTCGTTGAGGCGTGCGGCGTCAAAGCGTGCGGCGTCAAAGCGTGCGGCGTGGAGGAGGAGTCGAAGCGTGGAGGACGAGTCGAAGCGTGGAGGACGAGTCGAAGCGTGGAGGACGAGTCGAAGCGTGGAGGACGAGTCGAAGCGTGGAGGACAAGTCGAAGCGTGCGGCCACCGACGTGGCGTTGTCAAAGCGTGCGGCCACCGACGTGGCGTCGTCGAAGCGTGCGGCCACCGACGTGGCGTCGTCAAAGCGTGGGGCCATCGACGTGGCGTCGTCGAAGCGTGCGGCCACCGACGTGGCGTCGTCGAAGCGTGGGGCCACCGACGTGGCGTCGTTAAAGCGTGGCGTTGTCGAAGCGTGGCGTCGTCAAAGCGTGGCGTCGTCAAAGCGTGGCGTCGTCGAAGCGTGGCGTCGTCGAAGCGTGGCGTCGTCGAAGCGTGGCGTCGTCGAAGAGTGGCGTCGTCAAAGCGTGGCGTTGTCGAAGCGTGGCGTTGTCGAAGCGTGGCGTCGTCGAAGCGTGGCGTCGTCAAAGCGTGGTGTCGTCGAAGCGTGAAGTGTGGCGTTGAAGTGTGGCGTTGAAGTGTGGCGTTGAAGTGTGGCGTTGAAGTGTGGCGTTGAAGTGTGGCGTTGAAGTGTGGCGTTGAAGTGTGGCGTAAGGCCAAAGCAATGGGCAAACGAACAGCACAGAGGGGCTCGGCCGCGCTCCGACCAATCAGAGCAGCTCATCAGACACGGACAGCCCGGAAGCAATGCAGTGGGCAAAACTTACAGTCCACGGTCAATTAGACAGAGCGAAGGCCAATGCAGACGACAAATGTTATAGTCCATGGTTACAACTGACAGCCTGAAGGTCAATGCAGTGTGTAGAATGTTCAGCCCATGAGTAAAACGGACAGCCAAGAAGGCCAACACAGTGATTAAAATGTGCGGTCCATGGTGAAAAAGGACAGTCTAAATGCCAATGCAGATGGTAAAACGAACAGCCTGAAGAGCAATGCAGCGGGTAAAAACACAGCCTGCGAGACAATTCGCCGGGATTAACTGACACGCCGCAGTTCAGTACGTTCATGGTAGTGCGGAAAACAACGAAACCGACACTGTACCGTGAGTGGAGGCAGGGAGACGGGTGGACAGCGGCAGGCAGACAACGGCAGGCAGACAGAAGTCCCGTTCCCGGTATGGAAGCGGCAGGGTGCGCGGAGTAACGCCTGGCCGCGAGCAGCAGCGGCCACGGGGAGACGAGCGGCAGCGAGTCCGCAGGAGAGGACCCGCGGTGAGCCGCGGTGGAGACACAGCGACCATGGCGCACAGCCCCCAACATGTGATGTGGAAGAGGAGCCGCGACCATGTAACCTTGCCTGCAAGCTGAATTCTCGCGGTATTTGTGAGTTCACAAACACTCGAGAATACATCTTGTACCGCTCCCGCTTACACTTTTCGAGTCGAACCACTGGGTGTGCGAGCCAATCACGCGCCAGTCTGGGGGTTTAGGGCGGGATATCCGGGTTTGACGAAAGCAAGAAGTGCCGGGCCGAAGCAAAACAAACATGGCTACGCAGGAGGACGGACGCGTAGCTGAGGCTATCAAGTCAGTTTTAGCAGAATCTCCAATTTCTTTTTTGAAAGATGAACAGCGAGAGGCGCTTTGTGCATTTCTGGACGGCAACCTTGGTAGGCGGGCACACAGCGTCACTTC